TTTGAGATAAAGCGCTCTTTCATCTAAACCATGAAAATTATGGGGTCAGTTTGACTTCATCTTTTTCAAAACTAAATTTTTTTTAAAAGTCCTTCCGAAGCAGGCAACGGGATTTCAATTCCGATGACCGACAGCTTCTTACGGGCAAACCCCACACCAAAAATAGTGCTGACATGTAGACACAGACAGTAGGAGGAGATGGTGCACTCAACAAGATAGAGGACTCCTCCGTGGTGGGAACAATGGAGGGACCATCTATATGATTAGGATAAGGGACAGTGTCGGGGAACTCAAGCCCCCCCTCACTAGAGAGCGAGCTAGAAAAATAAATAACACTTTCAAAGAATAAGTTATCAACACTCACATAGATTTTGTTTGTGGTTGGATCAAAGCATCAATGTCATTTTTGAGTTGCAGAGTATCCAAGAAAGATACATTTTATGGATCTGGGATCAAGTTTACTTCGAGTAGGAGCAGTGTTTCAAATAAAAACAGTGCATCTAAAAATCTTGAGATATAAGGTGGAGAAGAACTGATTGACAGATAAGCATGACATCAGGACGACTAAGTGAAGTTTGGAAGGGATTCTATTTATGAGACAGGTTGCAGTTAGAATGCAGCGTTCCAGAAACGTTTCGGGAAATTAGATTGAAACATCATGGAATGATCAACGTTAAGGACGTGACAGTTTTTTATCTCGACTATCCCATTTTGTTAAGGAGTGTTCATGTAAGAACAATGGTCGAAAATGTTTTTACTTACCATGAATTTACTCAAAATAGAGTTGAAGAATTCACGACCATTGTCGGTCTGAAGGATCTGAATAAGAGTTTTGAATTGAATTATGACAAATTTGTAAGAGTTTTGGAAGGTCACAGCTGCTTTAGGGGCAAAACAAGTCGTGGTGTCATTGACTAGGGTTGGGCACTATTTAAGATCAAGATGGGCTAGGCAAACTGTGCCCTAGACCCAACGAGGGAAGATCTAGGGCAATGAAGGGAAAACTAATATTTTAAGAGAGGCGAAATTGATATTTCAGAAGGGGCAAAAAACCAAATTTCTCTCCCATATAAGAAAATTTTGAATTTGAGAGGGGGCAATTTGCTCCCTGTGCCCTTCTTGGTCCGCCCATGTGCAACTTCCAATTTGTTTTTTAAAATTTAAACCCACGTCCTTCGATTTGCTCCCTGTACCCTTCTTGGTCTGCCCATGTGCAACTTCCGATTTGTTTTTTAAAATTTAAACCCACATCCTTCGAGTGTCATTGATTAAGGTCAAAAATCATTATTTATTGGTGTAGCTAGAAATACGAGAGGTCCCTATATGTCACTGTGAATGAGGGAGAAATAAGTGAAAGGAGTATAAATGTGTGGTGGGTAATGAACACAGTGATGTTTGGCTAACAGACATGTCTCACAATTGAAGTTAGAGAGATTTTTATTAGAAAGCATCAGATGATACCAAATTTTTAAATATTGAAAATTAGGATAATCTAATCGACAATGCAATAACATAAAGAGACATTCAATGACTCGAGATAAACTATAACTTTTGAGTGTCGTGTCTTCACTCTCCTTGTTGTCCTCTTCGATGTAGTAGAGCCTAGCTACACCTACTTAGCAGTTTTAATCATCCTCCTCGAACTATAATCTTGAAAAACACAAACATCTGAAGAGAAATTAGCAACGCAACATATATAATTTGTCAACTTTTTGATAGTTAATAAATTGCATTAAAATCAAGGAGCATGTAAAACATACTCCAATGTTAGATCGGTCATTAGTATAATCGACCATTTATAGCAATGGAGTTATGGGATCTATCAACAATTTTGACGGTGTTTTTTTTTTTCCAGAGCACAGTTAGTAAGTCGAAAAAGCTTGTCAACAGCCAGTCATGTGATTTGTGGCACCTGAATCAATAATCCATGGACTAGAGGAGGAATAAACTGTGAGAGCAATAGGAATATTATCTTATAGGATTTGAGAGGTTGATGGATCTGTAGAGACTTGGTTGGCTCCAAGAGGCTTGATCAATTGCTTCATCTAGTTTTTTAGGGATTTGAAGGATTCCAAGATGTTCTGGGTAGGATTCAACTGAGTCGTGGCTTGGTTCAATCATCGTCATAAGTCCCTTGGCATTCGAGGATTTGACCGAGAGTTTGTATGTTGGCTTATCGTGAAGTTTCCAACACTTGCCCTGAGTGTGGTTGAGTTTGTGACAATAATTATGAGTGAGATGACCGGTTCGTGGTGTCATTGACTAGGGTTGGGCACTATTTAAGATCAAGATGGGCTAGGCAAACTGTGCCCTAGACCCAACGAGGGAAGATCTAGGGCAATGAAGGGAAAACTAATATTTTAGGAGAGGCGAAATTGATATTTCAGATGGGGCAAAAAACCAAATTTCTCTCTCATATAAGAAAATTTTGAATTTGAGAGGGGGCAATTTGCTCCCTGTACCCTTCTTGGTCCGCCTATGTGCAACTTCCGATTTGTTTTTTAAAATTTAAACCCACATCCTTCGAGTGTCATTGATTAAGGTCAAAAATCATTATTTATTGGTGTAGCTAGAAATACGAGAGGTCCCTATATGTCACTGTGAATGAGGGAGAAATGAGTGAAAGTACCTTATAGGATTTGAGAGGTTGATGGACCTGTAGAGACTTGGTTGGCTCCAAGAGGCTTGATCAATTGCTCCATTTGGTTGTTTAGGGATTTGAAGGATTCCAAGATGTTCTGGGTAGGATTCGACTGAGTCGTGGCTTGGTTCAATCATCTTCATAAGTCCCTTGGCATTCGAGGATTTGGCCGAGGGTTTGTATGTTGGCTTATCGTGAAGTTTCCAACACTTGCCTTGATTGTGGTTGAGTTTGTGATAATAATTATGAGTGAGGTGACCGGTTCGTGGTGTCATTGACTAGGGTTGAGCACTATTTAAGATCAAGACATGACAAGTCTCGTGGTGATTCAGCTGAAGGAGTAAAAGCGTTGAACATGACAAGTCTCTTGCTTTCTTCCTGATGAATCTCGGTGAAAGCAGTGCGAGCGGAAGGAAGAGGATCCCAACCAAGAATACGACCCTGAACTTCGTCAAGATCTTTGTTAAGGCAAGGAATCGTAACATACGATCCTTCTCTACGATCTTTTAAAAGAGGGATAAGTGGGTCGGAGAATCTCAAGTATAGTCGTAGTGTAGATTGCATTCCATTTATAATGCAACAAGGTCATTACAGTACTGGGTCACGGCCCTTGACCTTTGTTTGGTTTCCCGGACCTTTTTAGATACCTCATAAACTTAGTTAGAATTTCCTACATCTAATTTGGTATTAAGGACAATCGTTCAGAGAGCACTAGCTGAACGTAGGAACATGTATGAACGACCAATTGAAGTTTCCATAGAGTTAATCTATCATAACATGACCATGGAGTTTTCCACTTCCTAAGCTCCATATGCAGGTCGGTTTTTGGAGGCTCACAAATCATACCTATGAGGTGGTCAAACTTCCCACGCTTTTTGATGAACAAAGAGATTGCTTGGGAAGTTGCTGCCATTCAACTTTTGAGTTGTGATTAAAAAATTCATGTTAGATTCCAGTCCTTTGATTTGCATGAGAGCAAGGTTTGGAGTCAATCCTCTAGTGGCCATAAGAGTGTCTTCTGAGGGCAATTGATTGAAAGAATCAGCCATAATTTCAACTGAGCTGATGAATAATGTTGTTGTGATTCTGAGTCATCAATTAATTTTGGTAGAATCACAACAAACAGAAACAAAACAGACAACAATAACTATAGGAATTGCAAGGATCCTTACACTGACAACAAAATAGGGGACTCCATTTGACAAAAGAGATTGCTCTGGCGGAACCTGTAGGAATTGCTCTGGCGGACAACAGGGATTGCTCTGGCGGCTGCTGAAACCTGCAAGAAGAGCGAGCGACTGCAGGCAGGAAGAAGTATGCTGTTTGCAGAAACGTGTTGTTCTTCTTTGAATGCAAGCTTTCTGGAATTCCAATTATTTGTTGCGGAACAAGAGCAGATAGGAAGAAGCCTTCTGGAATTCTTGTTGTTCTTTGAACCCGATAGAGGAGGTCACTTGCTAGTATGTGGAGGCGGCAGCTGTTGGAACTGGCCGAGGAGGCTGGGGGCTGCTGAATCTAGGGTTAGAATCTAATACCATGTTGAGATTTGAAATAGTCCAGCTCAATTTTATTGATAGGAGGAGAGATATTTAAACTCAATTACAATATGTGTAAAAATGGAAAACAATAAAATCATAATAAAATAGAAAAATAAAACAGAATAAGACAAAAGGAGAAATACATAATCAGAAAATAAAATCAAATAATAATTAATAATAACGTTATATTCTAATAAAAATCATAATTAAACCTTTTTTATTTTGTGTAATTAGTTTTATTCATAAATTATATGATTTTTTGTTTTTGTAACCCTGAACTATATTATCTTATAACTTGAATTGTTTTGTTGTGATTGGTAAACATTTAACATACACACTTAAACCTAAATAGATTAAAGCTCATGTTTCACCTAATTGGTTCTTCGAAATGATTTTAGATATATTTGTATTAGATAATTAGAATCTGTGTCTACAGAACCTTCAGTTTGAATTTCAGTTGACATCATTAGGTGTATCCCAAGTAAGTTTGGATCTTTGTATCGCTCGGTCAAGGTAAGGTAAGTAAATGTTGTTTATTAATCGGTAAATTTATTTTTCGTTGTTAATTATGTTATATCCATAACTATTTTGTAGGTTTGTGAGTTGTCTTCTTATCTTTCGTTTTCATTGTTATGTACATGTCAGGGAATTCTGTTATTATTCATAATGAAGTGATGGATTAAATGAATATATCTGCTGCATGTCACATCATACATAGCATGTGCGCCTCTCCCGAGAGGCTACCATCTGTATTGATTTATCGTTGCGCATATTCCTTTTCGTTCAGTTCATTCTTATGCATGTAATATTTATTGGTTCTGCATACTTTCTGTATTTTAGATTCAATTTGGACACTTTATGCTTGTATATGATTAAAACTCGTCATACTGCTAACAATGTTCCACATAATTACCTGCTAGTGATGTATAAAATATGCACATTATTATAATAATATTATGAATGTGTTAAAACTCTTTTAATGGTTGGTTGGACTGACAAGTCTGTCAAAAAATCACTGCATTTTCATGGGATTAGTGTTCATTTTTTCTAGTTTCAGGACATCTTCGAGGAGGTTATTTAAGTCTTAAATTTATAAAAGAAAATTAAGTTAATGAACATTTGTTTTAATTATGGGCTAAAATAATTCTTAAAAAGTCTTTAAAGAGAAGTCTAAAAAAATCCATCATCATTTCATCAGTTGCCATCGTTACCCTGCTGCCGATTGCTGCTAACATCTCGTAAATAAATAAACAAAGCCCGCGAATAAACAACGTCCGCGCAAAATCATCACAACATGCAAATGGAGGCCCATTAATTGGATTTTTAAATATCCTCCATCACTTCTAATTTATGGGGAAGTTACATGCATACCAACCAATTCATATGTATTTACATTTCTGATACCTCAACTTTGTTTTTAACATTTATGCCCTTTATCCTTCATGTTAGAACAAAATTAACAGCATTTTAACTTTTAATAAGTAAAAATATATTAAAAATTTCATTTCAGTTGGGTGCTCCATTGTTGTTAGTTGGGTTTCTTAATTATCTCACATGCAAATAGAAGACTATCTTCAACAGCGATGTTTCTAAGGTAACATTTGCAACAGCTCAAACTCTCGTCCATTGATGATATTGTTTGCTTTGGTTTAACGGTCTCACGATTTTGTTTTATTAGCGTAACTTTTGAGGAAGTTGCCCATCTTAAGAGCACTCCAGCCTGAGCATGCAACCTTCATACCAAAATACGTTTGGCTTTCATTCAATTTATAGATTTTCACAATTTCTTTCACTTAAATAACTGAAGTCTTCCTAAGTATATTCTCAACCAAGAATCATCCACCAGGCAACAGCCGGTTATGATGCTGTGAGAAACAAATCAAACCTTCAGGTAATTTCTATGTAGCTCGGGCCAAGCTGAATGAATCTCTTATGCTGCAAGAATAATTACTAAAGATCTTCTCATGTATCTCAACCAAACTGAATCCAGGAGCCTTCTTCATCTCCTGCTCCTTCATTCTACTCCTCATTCTCGCCGCATCTTCCCATCTTCCCGCATCAGCATACAAGTTCGACATCAAAACACAGAATGTCACGTTCTGAGGATCCAATCTCAACATCTCCTCCACCACCATCTCAGCCATGTCAACATCCCCATGCATACTACAACCACCAAGCAAAGCTCCCCACACCGCTTTGTCCGGCTTCACCTCCATCCTCTCCACAAACCTATAAGCCTCACCCAGCCTTCCGGCTCGCCCCAGAAGATCCACCATGCAAGCACAGTGCTCTACGGTATGATCAATCCCATAATCTCTCTTCAAGTTCTCAAACTGTTTCATTCCCTCCTCGACATCACCGGAATGGCTGCAAGCTGCAAGAACTGAGGTAAAAGTGAAGCTGTTAGGCATTATTTCTTCTTCTTTCATCTTAGAGAAAAGCTCAAGAGCCTCCTTCGCATGGCCATGAGCTGCGTAAGCCCCAATCATGGCGCTCCAACTTACCACACTCTTTGATGGCAGGAGCTTCTGAAATAGAGCTCGAGCCGAGTCGATTCCACCGCACTTCGCATACATATCGAGCAACGCATTGCCGACTCTCACATCAAGCTCAAGTCCTCTCTTACAGGAAAGCTCATGAACCCATCTCCCAATCTCCAGGTTTCCAAGAGCAGTGCAGGCAGATATGACAGACACCAATGTCACGCTATCAAATCTGAGATTTTTAGCAATCATCCGCCGGAAAACTTCGAACGCCGCAACTCCGTCACCGTTCTGCTCGTAGAGTGCAATCATGGTGTTCCATGATGCTAAGCTTGGAGCTGGCATCGCGTCGAACAGGGACTCAGCAGCTTCCCTTTCACAACATTTGCCATACATCGCAATCATTGCGTTTGCCAATGAAGTATATGAGCTCAAACCGGATTTGATCATGAAACCGTGTATGGATCTCCCCAGACTAAAAAAGCCTAACTCGCTGCAAGCTGGAAGAATGCTCACCAGGGTGATCTCATTAAACCGAACTCCGGAATCAACCATTTGCTGAAAAACACTCACAGCCTTCCTAAAGATACAATTTTGAGCATAGCCAGCTACCATGGCCGTCCATGACACCATGCTCCTCTCCCCCATCTCGCCAAAAATCAGCTCTGCATCAGAAATCTCCCCACTATGGAAGTACATTGTGATCAACGAGCTCTGAGCGAAGATATTAATGTCCAACCCGTTCTTCACAATGTTGCAATGAGCCTGTTTTCCTTCTCCAATGGCAGAGATGACGGAGCAGGATCTGATCACAAAGGGGAAAGTGAAGTAATCAGGAGAGAAACCGGTGCGGTGCATCTCTTTGTAGAGAGCGGGAACTTCTTGACATGGGCCGATAGTAGCATACCCGCGAATTAGAGTGTTCCAGAGGAATGAGTCCCGGTGAGGCGTAGTGTCGAACAGGTTGCGGGCATAGGCCATGGTTGAGGACAGAGTGTAGGCGAGGAAGACGACTTTGGTGGCGAGATCAAGGCGTGAGATGAGGCCATGGGTGAGGAGAAGAGCGTGGAGGCGTTTGAGATCGGAGAGGGAAGAGCAGGAGTTTAGAAGCTTGTTGTATTGAAGAGAACCGCCCAGAGTTGGGATTCCGAGAGTTCGAAACATTATGGAGATGAAAAAAATATGATTTATAACTTTTAAAAAAGTTTTCTCTGTGATTCAGAGCTTGAATGAGTTCAAGAAACATTTCATAGCCTTGAGTGGCACTCTAAATGCGGGCACATTTTTTTCATAACATCTCTGAAACCTGATTTACAAAGAAAGTACATGTTAAAGTTTTATTATTCCAGATCAATTGCAAGTAACTAGAAGCAATCATGGCTGCAAAATAATGGCAGATTAAAAGAGAGTCCTTTGCAAGGCAACAAACAGAGCATGAAAACTCCCGTTCAGGAAATTCGGCGAAGAGCTGAAAAGCAAGAAGAAGTGGTTCGTGTGAATGACAGTTTAACTGGATAATGAAACAGAGATCCAATTCAAATAGCAATTTACAGATGAATCGACCAAAGGAACAAGTACGATAGATACGAAAAAACAAAAAAAAGAAACAGTAATGGAGTGACGCTTCGAATGGGAAGGACGCGGGTAGAGGGAAGAACGACTTGCTGTGCAGGAGATATCGGCAAAGAAGAACAGGCGGAAAGGAGAGACGGAGGAATGTCGCGAGGTAGCTGTAGTCGAACGGAGACGTCAGCGCTGGCGACGGCTTCGAACGGGCTGGAGACGGGGAGGGGGCTTCGGTGGCTAAGAAGTTTGGGTTCAAGTTTTGAGTGGTGGTTTTAAAATATTTAAAGTATAGATGTTTATTTTATTAATATTAAAATTTTAAATAGTAGTTTATTGAAGTTTTAACAACTTTGAGAATAAATTGCTATAAAAAATAGGTTTGGTTAAGTTTTACTCGAAGAGGCTTGAAGCGATGTTTCTTGGAGTGTTTCTTGAATTCTCTTGAAAGCATTGTTAGGGTTTGGGTGCTCTCTTTGAAATTCTAAATTTGTCCTCTTCTAATCTTCTCTTCTTCAATCCTTTTTGCTTTGGGGCCTTTGCCTCTTTAAGAGGTTTGGATCATCTTGCTTTCCCCCCTCTTCCATAGTCTAATCAAGCTGAACTGGAAATGCCTCGTTTTTTTCTTGTACTCCTAATCCAACGGATTTCCTTCTTTCTTTCATGTCTTGTGAAGAAGAGAATGTCTCGTTCTCTAATGAAGATGATAACTATTCTGAATAATGAAAGTTGGCTCTCGTTGGTTGTGCTCCAGGCAAAAGGCATTGCTATGGTAATGTCTTACAAACCATTCAAAACATTTGACAGGTGAAAGATAATTTGAAAGTAATTTATCTTAGTGAGGGATTCTTTTTATTCTAATTCAATTGTATAGAATACTAGAAAATGATGCTTTTGAGCTGCCTTTGGTTCTTTAATGGGAAGTCATACTGTAAACCTTGGTCTTATGACTTTAAGCAAGTTAAAGAAGACTTTCATGAAGTTCCCATTTGGGTTAGATTGTCTAACATTCTTGTCTGTTGTTAGTAGAAGAAGGGTATCTCTAAAATCAATAGTAAAATTGGTATATTGTGATTGTGGATCGGCTTAGGTATGCTAGAGTCAATATACAAATAAATATTGATTTTTTAATTCCTGGTTCTATCGTCATTAATGCTACTAAGGGAAATGATATTACTCAAGAAGTTTTATATGATTAGAAACCAATTGCATGCACAATTTATTCTTCTTTTGTGCATGAGGCTTCATCTTTTCCAAAATCCCTCACTATATTTCTCCTCAAATTGTTCCTCTGTGTGGAGGAAATCCTATTAGGAAAAGAAATGGTTCTAAACCAATAAGGAGTATTAGTAGATCTATCATCCCTCCTATTGGGGTTCATAATTCTCAGAATCATCATCTTCAACCTTCTCCTATTTTGCCTCCCCCTCATTTGAACATGTATGTTTAAATTCCCTCTCTAAGCAATGAATCTTATTATGAGTCTCTTCCAAAGCATATAAAGGAAGTTAAGCATGTTCAGGCTGTTTCAACTTCTTTGCCTATGTATTGAAAGATTCTAAGCTTTTTAATTTTTTAACCTCAAGCGAGAATCTTACATAAGATAAGATAGCATAAATCTTCTTCTGCTTTGCCTTCTTCTTCTAATGGGAAGAAGGACAAGCCTAAATGCATTTCTTCTTAAAATCTTTTTGTTCATCATATCATTTTCCAAGCATAGGTACTTCAAATGCTTGTAGGCTGTATAGTGATTCTAGAATCACTGACTGCAAGCATTTTATAAAAAAAAAATCATAATTTGGATCATATTTGTTTATTGGAAGCTAAGCTCTCTTACTAAGCTTTGTTGGATCCTTTCTTTTGTAATCAGTTTAAGCTATTCACTAATGAAACTAGTTGTAATTTTTCCTTTTGGTAACTAGAGGCCTTATTTGGCTTAAATGGAATCATGCCTCTTTTTTTTTACTGTTTTGGACATACACCCTCGGTATATTCATGGTAGAATTGGATTTTCTTCAACTATCAATTTTTTGGCTGTTTGTCTATGCTGATAATAGTGACTTTCAGAGAAAAGATTTATGGATGTCAATTATGACTTTATTTAAATATATTCATGATCCTTAGGTTATTTTGGGTGACTGTAATTGTATTACGAGGCTTGAAGAAAAATTGAGTGGCATTTTTCCTATTCTCGATAAACTCGATGATTTTAATAACTCTATTTGTGTGGCTAGGTTAATGGAGCTCTCGAATTCCGGGCTTTCCTATGGCTAGTTTAACGAACAATATCATTTCCAAATACGATGTTTGATGGGCAGAGTTTTCTGTAATGTTCATCGGATGGCTGGTTTTCCTGTTGGTATTTTCAAGGTTTTAGAACATTTTACTTTAGACCGTTCACTTATCAATGTTCATTTTGGTTTTGCCCAGAAGCTTTTTTATAGATTCTTGTCTAAGAATTATTGGAAATCCAGTCGTAAATTATTTTCTCTTGTTTTATGTAATAAACTTAAAGTGGTTATATTTGCTTTAAAGAGTTAAAATCTGTGTTCTTCTAATCACATTTCTAATATTATCTACAATTTGAATATTTATTAGAGACATATTATGTCTCTCATACAGAATAACCCTTTTGATAAACATTTGTTTGCCAATTACTCCACCATACAATTAAGCCCAATTGTCGATTGCCCACAAATGTGAGTATAAATGGTTTAAGACAAGAGCAAAGTATGCTAGGTTTTCCAAAGAAAAATATGATGCGAAATTTCTCTATCATGGGATTAATATTAGAAACAACAAGAATATTATTAAAGAGATATATAATGGTGATTCTTGCATCTTTTCTCATATTGATATTATCAAGGAGGCCATACATTTTTTTCTAATTTTTTGAGTAGTCAAAACTCCATTCAAAATGAATTTTTTAAAGGGATTCCTATCTATCATTCCTTAAGTGGTCTAAATTTGGATGCGCTTGTTAAGAATTTCTCTGATGATGATATTAAGCAGTCTTTTTTATTGGATGGGTCAAATAAAACAGATGGTCCTTATAGTTTTTTGGCTAAGTTTCTTTACGATACTTAGTTTATCAGTGGGGCTTACTGCATTGCCATAGTAAAACATTTTTTTTTTCAATCTTGCAAAATGCATACTGGGCTTAATCACACAACAATTACCTTTATTCACAAACATTCCAATGCTAATATCTTGTAAGATTTTAGGAAAATTGTTTTGTGTAAGACAACTTATAAGGTGATAGCAAAGTTGCTTGCAGGTCATCTCAAGCCTCTTCTCCCCTCCATTTTGCGTTCTCCTCAAGTTGTTTTTCTCAAGAGTAGAGATATAACAGACAATATTATTCTTGCAAATGAGTTTTTCTATGATTTTAATTCTTTACATTCTAAGAAGAATATTGTGTTGAGATTGAAAATATTAAAATGGTTTTTGATAATATCATTTAGGTGTTTCATTTGGAGAGGATGGCTAGATTGAGTTTTCCTCTCATTTTCTTAAATTGGATTAAAGCTTGAATTGTTGATGTGCACTTGTCCCTTAATATAAATTGTGATTGAAAAGGATATTTTAATTACATATATGTGGTTAGACATGGGTGTCCTCTCTCTCCCTATTTGTTTGTTATAGTAATGAATGGTTTCTCTTATATTTTAGACGAGGATTTAATTCTTTCCCGCAACTTCTATGTCAGTCGAATTCTCACATCTGATTTATGTTGATGATGTGTTATTATTTAGAAAAGCTAACAGTCAAACTATTATTTGCCTAAATAATAGTTTGGACAAGTTCTTCAAAGCTTCAAACTTAAGTTTTAATGCCTCTAAATCATCTATTTATTTTGCAAATTCTGTTGATTCTGCATTACATCAATAGATATGTGAAATATGTGGTTTCTCCTTCAAACCACTGCCATATAATTACTTAGGAGTGGTTATCAAACATTCCAAATTGGCGGTTGCTAATTGTCAAAAACTGTTAGAAAAAAATATTGCTTAGGTTATCGGGTTTGAAAGTTACAATGTTTCATTTGTTGGCAAACATCTATTCCTTAAATCCATAGTTTGGTTTTTAATGTATTATTAGTTCAAATTTTTTGTAATCCCCAAGGGACTTAGGAAAAAGATTAATTATTTGTGCAATATTTTTCTCTACAATAGTGGTATCCTATAAACTCTATGTTATTGCTTGGACTTCCACCAGTAAGACAAAGTAATTTGGTGGACTGGGAATTCTCAATTTGGATATCAACAATTTTATGGTAGCTCTAAGATCATATGGAGATATTATAACTCTTCTTTCATTTTAGCCTATTAGTGCACTGAACATAATAGGTCTTTATGATTTAAAAGAAAAAGTAAGACAACTCCTTTTTGGAAAAATCTGACTCGGATTGTTGTTAAGATCAAGGGAAGCTTGCAATTTCATGTTAATGTCAATAGTAATCTATTTTTTTCTTTGATTGCTAGTTGGATGGTTCTTCTTCGTTTAAAAAAATTGGAAATATGACATTTCAGTGGTTTAATGTTTGTCACTTGCTAAACTAAATGACCTAATGACTAACGAGGTTTGGAATTTTTCTAGTTTTGATCATGAGCATTGTTGGGATGTTATTTATCTTATTCCCATCAGGTGTAGCAGTTGCTCTTATGTATAGAATGGTTCTTCCAAGTATTCTCATCAGTCTATCTTTCTTCTTGTATATGAGAAATTTTATGTGGCTCTTTGGACTAAATATATTTGGTTTAAAAGTTGTTCCTTAATATTTGCATTTTTTGCTTGGAAAATCATGGTGGAAGAGCTTAAAAAAAAAAGATACCCTCTTTTATTAAGGGATTTTGGTTGATAGAGTTGCGTGCTTTGTGGTATTGATTGAAAGCCATAAACAACTCTTTTTTTAATGTGTTTTTATGCATGTCGTGTTAAGGAGATGCCTTCCTTAGGGCAATGTTTTTTCTTATGAGTTGCAATTTTTTACTAGTTATTTCTTATGCTGATTCTTTCACGTCAAATATCTTAAAGAGGCTCTTTCTTTTAGCAGTTCATATTACTTCATATTTCTTATGGAAGGAAAGAAATTCAAGGCTTTTAAAGAAATCTTTCTCTTCAACTAATTTTTTTGTTCAAGAAATTCATGAGACTATTAAGTTTAAGAGTCAGAGATGAAAATTTAAGAAAGATATTTCTCTTTCTTTAAAAGAACTTTAAAATCTTTAGTATTCTCTATTTGGGTTATTGATTTGTTAGAAAATTGTTGCTTTTGTGGAGCCTTTTTGGGCTGGTTCTATATTTGGGAGCTATTCTTTCTCTTTTTATTCTATGTAGAGTGTTTCTAAGCTGCTCTTTGTCTTTCTACATGTGAATTTTCATTGGATGGAGGTTTGGATGGGCCTAAGGGAATTTTTCTCTGAAGATTTTATTTTTGTGACTATTTTTTTATAGTTTTTATGTTTTCTTTACTATATAGAGTATGACTGCATTTAGAAATTTTGTGTCAAACTGTTTTGAAAAATGTTTTGCTTGTTTTTAGAGTTATGGTGGTCTTTTTTGTCTTCAAATTAGCTTTTTGTCCTCCGAGCTACAAGTGAATTTAGTTGTTGTTTGTTTTATTTTCCCATGAAGTTTTGTTGGATTTCATATTGTGTAACCTTTTGACTTGCTTTGAGGGGTTGGAATATTTCTCTTTACAATTGTTGCTACTCGGATTTGAAATTTCTAGATGGAGTCATTTGAATTGTGAAGGGAATTTTGTGCTGAGCTCTTTTATTCTCCTTAAAAGTTCTAATTGGTTTTTCTATCTTGTTCATCATTATAGTGGCTCTTTATAGTATTTTTTTTTTTTTTTTGTTGATTTTGATGACTTTGTGCTTTGAGACCTAGTTGAATATTGACTTTGTCTTCCATTGAAGCTTTATTTCTATTTTTGCATATTTTATTATTGGAGAAAAGCTTTTGTTGATTCTTTTTGTTCTTGGGCTGGACGAAGAAGATGTTGTTGGTATTATGCACCTCTCCTTTGGAGCCTTAGTTCTACGAAGTGTGGTCTTTCCCAAGATTGTCTTTTCGTTAGCCTCTGGCTGTGTTTATGCTTGTTGTATGTCTTTTCTGTTTGCTTTGTGCATTGAGTATTTTTCATTCTTTGCTCTTTTGTTGTTTACGCCAATCATGGGTTCATTGGTTGTGATTCTTTGTGATTTAAGTTCTATGATCATTGTAATTTGATTTTTCCTGTGGAATAAACTATGGACAAGGCCCTCAATTTTCCCAAAAAAAGGAATGATTTTTGGGGCATTTACATATATACAACACAATTCTTATGTATTTATATATGTAAAATCAAAACATTCTTACTTCTCTTCAAAATCGCATCAAAGAAATCATTATTAATATATGTTTTTAAAAAGTGAAATACACATTTTCAAGCATACATTTATGACACCAAGGTTTTATAGGTACAAATAGCAAACTTTAGATGCTAGATAAGTAAATACATAAGAATTGTAAGCTATATACATAAAACTCTCTTAATATTCTTCTGCACCCAACAACAAGCTTAATATACGGTATAATTTTCAGGTTAAAAAAAAAAAAAAACCAATTAGATAAATACCGCAGTTATTATGTTTGAAAATTCTAGTCAAAGTTGTTTTTATTTGATTATTTTTTACAATTTTTTTTATCATCCCAATTATTTATATCACATAAAAAATATCACCATTTTAAAATTTAAAATATTAAATGCATATTTTCTTGCATAAATAAGACAATATGTACAAAAAAATTGAAATTTTAGGTGTTAGATATATAAATACATAGAAATCGAGTGGTATGCATGTAAAACTCTCTCTCTTTTATTTTGAGGGTTCGAGCAATTTTTTTAGGTGGCAAACATGTAAAAATTAAAGTTTAGGTGTTACATATGTAAATTCCTAAAAATTGAGTGGCATGTATGTAAATCTTCCGCACAAATAAAAAAAAAAAAAAAACCCCAAAAAGAACTAGTGAAGCAAGGTGAGAATTTCTTAAAATGATTGAAGATTCATAAACAACAGAAGGAAAAAAAAAACATAATTTTCAAAAATAAAAAAGTCTTCTTACTTGATTACAAGAATGCTGGAGCAAATAATTTACTTCTAATACAGAGACTTGAAAAAGCAACTCACACAGACTTCAATCTCAGAAAGCTTCTACTCTTCTGTCCTATTTCTCCTACCACACATCCTTCTAATCCACTTTTCTTGTGCTGAGGTGAGATTTTGTAAAAAGGGCAGGGGTGAAGTGCAAGTTTGACATACTGTGCTTACAGGATGCTCGGCAGGAAGAGCAGCAGCTGTGCTGGTGAAGGCGTTTAGGACAATGAATGCCAATATAGGAGACAGATCCAATGTGCCACCAAGAGGAGGGATAATCCCACGAAATATGTTTAAATAAGGATCACATATAGTGCTGAAGAGAATTTTTTTGAAGTTAGAAATCAGTAACAGTAACATAAAGCAAGAGTGATAATTAAGAGAAAATTTATATATAATTGAAGTTAGAAATCAGTAATCAGAAACTACATTACATAACTATGTACTCATAAACAATACTTTGTTTGTAAAATATATGTTTGTGTGTATTCAATGCATTACTGAGCATTTGATCATAATATTTGAAGTTATGATGCAAGATAAAGGTGATAGTTAAGATTCTCTTCTATATTGATTCTTAGAATTATTGATTATTAATGTGAAGACTTTGATTCTAAAAATGAGTTTCTAGCGAGGGAGAGAGATGAAGATGATGAGGAAGACTTTGAATTATTCTGATGATTGAAACTAAGTCAGCATCTAAGTCAAGATATGCTATATTAATTTTATCATTTATGATAAACCTGAGATGAATAAAAGGATGTAAATTATTTTCTTGTGTCTGAAAGTGTTATGAAGGGAAAAAAAAAAAAAAAGTAAAGAGAATTCCTCTCTTCAATATTGGGAGTCTGGGACCAGGGAGAAGAGAAAAGAAAGGGGGAAAATGTTATAAATTGGCATTAATATCCTTTTGATATACCAAACCCTTTCTACAGGAAATTTATTGTATCAAATCGACTGAGAGAAAAAACGGCTTTTCCGTTAGCGAGTACAGTTCAAGCGAGAAAGCTTCCATTCGATTCAGTTTCATTGTCAGTTGCCCCCAAATTTGATTCTTGCTAGCACTCTGTTTCCTACCTGTTCTAGGGGCATTTTAGAGTTCTAAGAGGTTGTTTCCATCCAGCCGGTGGCTAATCCCATAAGCTAGTCAGTACGCAAGCAAGAAGCACTAGCATCAGTATCCAATCAATAACACTGCCGTTGCCGGTCCTAAACCCGGATGAGAAAAGTGGAGGGTTGCGTTAGGTAGTCGACAGCCAGCGTAAAACTTGTCGAAAAAAATCATGACATGAATCATTTTGATCATTGTGTAAGTGCTAAGGCGTCCCCTAGAAGCGACGTACTGTATGGCCTGTATATAGTGAAAATTATGCAAGGGTCACTACACTGACGCCTAGATAGTATCAAATAAGCAAAGGTTTTCACAATACAGACGGATGCGGGAAAAGAAGTTAGCATATAAAACTAGTGAAACTAAAATTTAGATATGATCATGGAATATAGGTATTCTCAATAGTAAATTAATTGAATTAGTTGATATTATGTTTCATAGAAAGATTAATACCTTATGTATTCAAGAAATTAAATGGGTGAAAAAAAAGTCTAACGAGATTGATAACTTAGGCTTTAAACTTTGGTATTCTGGTAAGAATTGCACTAGAAATAATGTGGGTGTATTTATAGATAAGAGTTTGAAATATAATGTTGTAAAAGTTAGTTGTTCTTAAGATTATTATTGATACTAAGATTTTTAATTTTAGCTCCTCACGTACGTCCAAATATAGAGAATAAATTTAAATTTTGAAATGATTTGGAAGACTTAATACAAATGATACCTCTTGTAGAAAGAATTTTTATTGGAGGAGATTTGAATGGTCATGTCGGTAGAGTGGTAGATTTCAAAAATAGTAATAGTGGCAATGGTTTTGGAGTGACTAATGAAGAAGGTAGATCTATTTTAAAATTTGTTTTAGCGTATAATTTTGTTATTACTAATACTTTATTTAAGAAAAGAGAAGAGTGTCTTATTACTTATAAGAACGGATCTAATAAAACCCAAATTGATTATTTTCTTGTGAGATTAAATACCCAACATCGTTTATTAGTTTTAAATTTTAAGATTAAGAGTTGTAAAATAAAAAATACTAGGACTCATCATTGTAGAATTAGATGGAGAAACTTAAAATATACAAATAAAATTATTTTTATGAGTAAAATTCAAGATTTCAAAATTTGGGATATGCATGAAAAAACAAATGTGATGTGGGATAAAGTAACAAATACTATTAAACAAGTAGAAAAAGATGTGCTTGGAGAATCAAAAGATAAATTATTTACAAATAAAAATAATTTGTGGTGGAATAATAATGTGCAAGAAAAGATAAAATATAAG